TGAATTCCTTTGTTAAAGTCATCCATGGTTCTGTTTGTCTGTTATATTGCAGGAGGAAAATGGCATCTGTGATGTTACAGTGTAATGACCTTCCCACTGCATTCTATATTAAAGAAAGTTATATTTGATTTCTTCTCCTTAAACTTCTTTGTTTATTTCTTTTCACCCTGTAGCTGTCCTACTGAGCTACTTCAGCTTTTCAGACTGCTTTGCAGACCCTTTTCCCTTACTTTCATTTGCCTTCTCAGGGGTTTGTTTATCTGCTTATGAAGTAGTTATTTTCTCTTTCTAGTGTTCATTTGCTGCCTTGACTCCCACCTGCTTTCTCTTGGAATAATTTTTTCCACTCTTGGAAATAGAGAAATTGGTGGGAGGAAGCTATTATAATAACCGTTATAAAATGGTGTGGGATTTAAATGATATTATAATGGCACGTACAGGGGTGTGTGTCAGAGATTGTCATAGAACTAATGATCTTTCGAACCTTGGGAGGGATGGATTGTAGCTGATATGTGCAAGGAACCTTTGAAGACTAAAAGTGACAACTGAATAGACCCTGAAGAGGAGATCAGAATAAGAAGGAACTTTGTTAGGTAGGAAGGCCAGTTTTAAGGTGATGAGGCAAAAAAGGCTTTGGCAGTCCCACAACTAACCCAACTATCCAAGGGAGCCCCTCAATGGGATGAGGCTGTACTTGAACCTTGGTTTTACACTGCGTTGCCAGGTGCTGTCTGTTTGTTAGAATTGCCCAACAGAGAGGAGGGTCCATGATCATAATAATAAGGTTTTATTATCTTTGACAGTGAGCAATGATCCCTGTGATAGTGCTGTGTGAAGGAAAAGGTCTTGTACTTATGAGTTTTTCCTCTCTTCAAGTGGCTTGTGCTCCTCCTGCTTCCTTGGGTCAACTTCTGACATTTTATGAGCTATGCTAAGAATCTGTTCAAGTTCCTGAACGAATGGAAAGTAATCCTGTCCCATTCCAGTTTCCTGTTGCCAGTCCTTCCTCAGTTCCTTGCCCTGCCTATCTTCCTTGCTCTCTGCCTTCTCTGCCCCCAACATGTTGGAGTACATAGACTCTGTGTAGACTCTCTGGTATCACAAGAGAAAAGAGTGAGGAAGAGTGGGATAGTGGGAGTAAAAAAGGGATGACCTGTGGCTGTAAAACATTAGGTAATTGTTGCTAAGGTAGATAAATTATTGGGTATTGTCCAACACAGGTAGAGTAAAAGGTGGGAAACTACTTAACAACTCTACTCATTAAACACACTTCTCTAGTTCTTGAGGTGCCAGATATGACATTGCTGAATGGCTGACATCTCTCAACAATAGAAATGCTAATTCTCTCTGAATAGTAAACTGATATTTATGGCTGAGACTCAAGCCTCCCCCTTAATTCCCTCAAAGTTGTTTCTTTTTTGCTCTCAGTTCTTACACAAAATAACTTTCTTGATCTTGGAAACAGACTGAGATTGGTATCAGTGCAAATCTCTAAGTGTAAGCTCTGTCCTAGTGTTTTTGCATGAATGCAAGGTATTGAATGTCTTCTGGGGTGCTTTGCATGATGGTTATTTTAGACAGAACAGTCTAGACAGTTGTTAGGATCTGTTGCACATCTCTATACCTGCCAAAATTTGGGAGGGAGTTTCGTTCAAGTTACACGGCTGTTCCTCGGAAGGATTTTCGCAATATGAATAACACTAACTAGACTAGTCTCTCTCTCACTTGCTCTCCCTCCCAAAAAATCACTCCTACTAGTGTTGTAAAACCTGACTAACATTCTGCAATTGCTGTTTCTGTTTTCACCTTTCCTCATTCTCTAGCAATTACGTAAATAGGAAGGACCTTCTTTCGTGCATGGTTTTGATGTATGTGCAAGAAATAATATAAAGAGTTCGCACATGCAATTGAGCCAAATGCTTTTTAAACATGCTTTGAGCATAAAATGAATAGTTTAGCTTTCAGAAGGGCTCTTCAGTGGGTAAAGGAGAAAAATATGGATATTTTTTCCAATGTCAGTCTTAATTTTTTTTTTTTTTTTTTTTTTTTTTTTTTTT